ACCCCAAATTTACATTTTTAGTCAAATCCTTTGAAATATGGTAACATCAGCAGGTACCTTAATAAGGGCACTACTCCGAAACATCGACCTACATTGAAAACTTTCTTCTACCCCTTATAATCCAATATGACAAATATATATTTCATATAGATGTACATCCCAAATCTACGTTCCCAACCAATATTCTCTTGGAGGATACAAATTCAATAGAATACAAACTTTTCTTTTCTGACCACACATTAGATGTGAAAGTGAACTTGGGGATACTCCAATGTGGGGACTTTACTTGAATAAATTCCAATGTGGCAATTATCTGTACGATGGTTTCTTACCCCAGGGTAGCATAAATAAAATTGTTTAGCCAAATAAATTGATGAATGTGGTCAAGACCAATATGGAAGAGGTTCTCTACCCCCTTAGGAACAAAGATGCCAAATAAGGGCCAAAAAAATGAAAAAAGTGGCCAAAACCCTAAAAATAGCTTAAATCATACTATGGTTATATAAATATGAAATCGGGTTGTGCCCTTATCCTTGAGTTATGATCGATATCATGACCGCGATTTAAGGTATCTTGAATGTTAGGGAAGAATTTCTGGAAGAATAGAAATCCTTTTCTTACTGAGAGTCCCATTCGCTCTACTATTTTCCACCCATTATATTTGGTATTTTACTGATTGTACTCCCAAAGAAGTTTGAATTTTGAGCTCTCATTGGACGGATTATTGTCACATGAAATAAGTAGGTCCACGCTTTGAAATGAGCTCCATAAGGTTTTTTCGGCAATTTTTGTTTGTTTAAATGTGTTCGCATCTTCCAGCTGAACCATGATGTCGACCCTGGAGTTGAAAGGTAGAGGTCAGTTAACATCCTAACTGACAAAAGAAGAATAACAATTTGAAAAAATCTTCAACTTGTTCGCTAGTTTTTTACAGCAAATGTTTAAAGATCCTTAAAAAGTTTGTCAAAAAAATGTCGATTCCATTGAAATTTTTTTTTAAATTTTTTCCCGATTTTAGAATTTTTGCAATGAGATATCTTTTTCTGTGAGTTTTCAGCGATTTTGAAAAAGTAATTATCTTTTAACTCGGTACTACATTATCATGTAGCCCGACATCAATTTCAGTTCTCAAGAAATCAAGTCAATTAAATTGGTATTAATATTCGAATTCAAAAGTAAAATATAAAAAACACTTCAAATGTACATTAGAAAAAAGTAAGACAAAACGGAAAAAAGCATACAAAATAAAACATTACTATTGTACATTTCAAAAGTCAAAATGAAAATGTTAATATATCACATTTTTATGCGATTTTTTTGGATATAATCCTTTTCGGACAGGAGACAATTCCGAATTTGTATGAATCGTTAAAATCAGTCCAGCGGTTCTTAAGTTATAAGCGTAGTAACTAACACAACTTTCTTTTATATATATAGATTCCACACAAGGACTTCTTTGTGAGTACTTTACTCCCTGAAAAATAATTGTCTATATAGGTCAATGATATAGTATAACTTCCATATAACGGTATTTGCTTGATTTTGAACATATTTTTCAACGGAATTGTCTGAAATTCAACTGAATTAGTTCCTTGTGAGTATTTTACCCCCTAAAAGAGAATGGTAGATATAGGTCTGCGATGTCGTATAGCCCCCATATAACGGTACATCCCGATATTTGATATATTGGTGATTATAGCCACATTATTCAACGGAATTATCTGATATTCAAGAAGTTCTTTGTGAGAACTTTACCCCCAGAAATAGATTTGTTTATATAGGTCCACAATATCGGGTATCCCCCATATATCGGGGCTTTCCGATATTCGGTATTTTTAAGATTGTAACAGAATTTTTAATGGATTTTATGTTGTTTTTTTTTATGGAGGGTATTCAAAGTTCGGCCCGGCCGAACTTACTGCATTTTTACCAGTTGATATTTTGAAAGTGTGTTGTCATTCATGTATGTTGTCTTCGTGGGCTTAATACAATTTTGCTTAAATAAAGTATTAATCATTCTCATCGTTAGACTTGAATCATATCCAAATTCTGAAATCTCTTACCAGCTTTAAATTTCCTTGTGATCTCATAACTCCCTCTCTTTTTATTTATCGACAACTTTGAACAAGTTTTTTTTTCAAAATTCAACATTTATTCTACAAACTAAAAATCAAATATTAATACTTTTTGAATACAGTGACACTCTTCTAATGGTGTTGATGGTAAGCTTGTGGTTGTGCGTATTGTTTGACCAAAGTAACTGGAGCTACTTGTTTGACAACAGTCTTGACATGGTCCAAAGGATAACGGTTAACGACGGCATTGAAGCCACTGTGAGGATCAACGGTATATTGGACAACACGTCTGAAACCATCAGCATCAATCAACGAGTATTCACCACGAACAACATCACCATCACGTTCTTCGGTTTGACTGTGGACATCACCGGTATGTTCATCATTTACATCGTAGTTGTAGTTGTATTGAGGATGATCATCGTAGTGGACATCATGTTTTACCAAAACGGGTTTGGCATGGGCATAAGCTACTGGAGCAACCGTTTTTACAACAGTGGTGGTGGGAACAACTGGAGCTGCATGATATTCTTGAGGCAAGGGCAGAACACCAGCACTGGCGACAGCAATGAAGGATAAGATGGTGATGAACTGAAAGGATACTAAAATATGTTAGGAGGATGTAAACTAAAAATATTTATTAATATTACTTTGAATGCCATTTTTCAAATTTGAGGTACTTTGCCGGAGCTAATTATGAAGTGATAAGTTTGGAAGGTGTATGATACAATTTCAAAATCATTTGTATATTTATAGCAATTTTTGGATTATATTTATCCCCCCATGAATCACATGTATTTTTATGCCAATTACAAAAAAATGCCTGTCTATCATTTATCTGCATTTATATTTATTGATCAAATATTGCTTTTGAAAATAGATTTGCTTTTAAATCCAATCCGAATAAACTATTATTCCATTTTATTTAATAATGACTTTCGTGACCTTCATCTTTTGTTCAGTAAAATATGTAATTTTTATAGCACGCTCTCTTTGGGAACTGGTGAATATTGCATTGGCGTAGACAGTCTCTCCACTCTTATTGGATTACCGTTAAGCCTTACAACATACTTACCCCCTAAAAAGTCATAACATTCCAAGAGAACTAACTGCCTTACCCCGACCTGAGATAACTTGTATTTACGGCAATGCCTTATAAAATGTACATACATTGCACAAGTGTGGTAATTTGTGGTAGGTCTTGATTTTGCTTAAGAGACTTTCACAATTGTCATAAAATATGACACTAATCCAATTAAACAAAGAAGAAATGCTGAGCAGTATTTTATTGTCCAAACGAAATGTTAACAACAAACATTTATTTGCATTTTGTGGATAGTTCGGATTGAAAACGAGTAAGTAAAAATATTTTGCTAGGTACCGTTGTATGGGGGCTATACGAAGACGTGGACCTGCACAGATAATTTTCTGTCATGTGATGTAGCATCCATTACGAACATTAAATACCAAATTTGAAACAATTCCGGTAAATAATGTCGCTAAAATCATTAAAATATCGAATATCGGGAAGTACCGTTATATGGGGTATACGAAGACGTGGACCTGCACAGACGATCTCTTGTCATAGGCTGTAGCATCCATTACGAACATTAAATACCAAATTCCGGTGAATAATATCGGTAAAATCAACAAAGTACCGAATATCGAGAGATACCGCTGTATGGGGGCTATACCAAAACGTGGACCTACATGACCAATTTTAGTATTGAAAATTGTCTGCAGACATTATATACATTTGAGTAATAGTTTATCAATCTACTTCAATTCGTTCGGAAGCTAGAGTGATTACCACAGACGGACGGACATCGCTAAATCGACATAGAACTTTATGCTGATCAAGAATATATATACTTTGTGGGGTCTAAAATGTATATTTAGAGGTGTTACAAACGGAATGACAAACTTAATATAAAAATAAAGTTAAAGTTTTGGACTTTACTTCTAGTCGCTGCAGCTAAAAATGATTTAGTTGTTGCAAAATGGTCAGGTTATTGTTGTTTTTATAAAAACAACGTTTGTTTATTAGTGGAGAACGATGGTAATGTTTACCAGGGGGTAAGGCAGGGAATACCTAGGTTTCGGAAAGAGCCACCAATCCTCATCAGTTCCCTAGTTTTTCGTCTTTTTATTTAAATAATAAAACATTGTTCCATTTTTTGTTTAATTGAATTAGTGTCATATTTTCAGACAATTGTGAGAGTTGCTAAACGAAAGCCAAGACCTACGACAACTGGATTCAATTTTGTAACTCATAATCCATTGTTGCTACGCACAATTTGAACGACGAAAGTAAATTTTTTTACATATAGACATCAATATTTCTGGAGAGCAGAGTTTTAAACTCACCACACAATAGTCATCAGCAACTTGTCCAATGTATGAAGTACACTTTGTGTTGTATAAAAAACCGACGTAGCTACATGTTGTATCAGTCGGGATGAGCCAACAAAATTTTCTTGGTTAATTATGCTCTTGAAATGGGGAAAGTATAATACGAAGCTTATCGCAATGGTATTTTTATTCCAAGGGAAAACCAAAAGACTTTCTACGCCAATGCAATATTCACCTGTTCCCAAAGAGAGCGTGCTATAAAAATTAACAAATTTTACCGAACAAAATGTGAAGGTCACGGAATTGATTATTAAATAAAAAGAGATAATAGTTTTTTCGGTTTCGACTCAAAAACAAATGTATTTTCAAAAGCAAATCTAGATCAATAGACATAAATGCAGATAAATGTATGGAAAGGTATTTGTAATTGACATAAAATACATTTGATTCATAGGGAGATAAATATAATCCAAAAATTGCTATAAATATACAGCCAACTTTGAAATTGTATCATACACCATCCAAACTTATCACTTCATAATTAGCTCCGGCAAAGTACCATAAATTTGAAAAATGGCGGTTGCTCCAGTAGCTTATGCCCATGCCAAACCCGTTTTGGTAAAACATGATGTCCACTACGATGATCATCCTCAATACAACTACAACTACGATGTAAATGATGAGCATACCGGTGATGTCCACAGTCAAACCGAAGAACGAGATGGTGATGTTGTTCGTGGTGAATACTCGTTGATCGATGCTGATGGCTTTAGACGTGTCGTCCAATATACCGTTGATCCTCACAGTGGCTTCAATGCCGTCGTTAATCGTTATCCCTTGGACCATGTGAAGACTGTTGTGAAACAAGTAGCTCCAGTTACTTTGGTCAAACAATACCCACAACCACAAGCTTATCATCAACACCATTAAAAGAGTGTCATTGCATTCAAAATAAATGTATTCATTTTTGTTTTTTTTAGTTTGTAAAATAAATTGTTGAATTTCGAAAAAAAAGATTACACTAAGTTATTTGTAAATAAACAGGTAAAAAAAACGCAGGTAAGTTAAATCTGGGTACAGCTTTCAGAGTTAGGCGATGTTAGGCTAACGAAAGGAAAGGATAAAACTCTGAAAAAACAGAATTCTATCAAGCCCATGAGAACATATTTAGATATTTGGATGAACATTTTAGCAGAAACCTTCAAAATACCAAAAAGCAGATGGTATTTTACTAACGAGCTATGTCAAATAGTCTACCAGCATAAAACTTTGTTGTGACGATAAATTGAACATTTTTTAACACCAATTATGTCTACTGGGATATTTCTAGGTGTTGCAATTAGAATCACAAATTTAATTTACCTATTATCGCAGGTGGAGGGTACAATAACATTTTTACCCCGCAAAAAAAAAAAGAAAAGACCGTGTATAGGCGTTTTGAAAGTTTACCTAACTTAATTAAGTTACTTTCCCCTCTTTCACACCTTTGGAATTTTTTGGATTAAGATTTCGTGGAACCCGTTTATTTTTGGCATATAATGTATTCGGCAAGTTTTTCAGACATAAATTTGAGAAATATTTTCGACGAAAATTTTAACCCTAAAGAGAGTTAACAAAGGGGCCAAAGGGGAAAACTACCTTTAAATAGTATCGTAGCAAGTTAAAACATTCTACAAAATTATTTGTTATACAATTTTATTATAGGTCCATATGGCGAAAAACTCATTTTAGAGTTGAAGCCATACTTTGCATGAGTTTGGGCAAAAACCTCTAACAAAGCTTAATTTTAGAGAGATCACATCAAAGACAAAAATATTCTTCATCAAATTGTAAAATAAGTCACAAAAGAAAATAAATCTCTATTTCCAATTCTATATTGAAACAAGTATATTTCACTTTAAAGTACAAATTATGATTTCACTTTAAATAAGAGAATGGTTGGAGCCGTTATAGGGGGGTCATAATTAAACGGGAGGTTATATAGAACATTTATACTTCAACGACAAATTTTTCGTAGTTTCGTGGAGAAATGTGACTAGGACCAATATGGACAATGTTTTGACATCAGTTGTAGAACCCATTATGAACTACAAATACCAAAATTCACACAAATCTGTTAGAAAATTTGGTTTAAATAGTCAAAATACCGAATATCCGATGGAACCGTTATGTGTTCGCTATAAGAAAACGTGGACCTAGATATTCAACGTTCTGCGAATTGTGAACTAAAAATACCAATTTTTAGACAAATCGGTAGGAAAATGTAAAATGTAAAACCATTAAAATACCGAATATCGGAAGGTACCGTTATAAGGGCTATACGCAAACGTGTTCCTATATCTACAATTCTTCTCCATCGGAGCTACAACCCCTTACGAAATACAAATAATTTTTTTACACAAATTGGTGGAGATATGCGGCTAAAACTATCAAAATACCGAATATCGGGAGGTACCCTTATATGGGGGATATCCCAAAACGTGAAACTGGAAACCATTACAAACAACAAATACCATTTTTTAGACAAACACGTGGGAAAATATATATTACGAAAATTATCAAAATACCGAATATCGGGAGGTACTGTTATACGGGGGCTATACGAAAATGTGGACCTTTATGTACTATGTTCCGCCACTAGAGCTAAAACATATAACGAACAACAAATTCCAATTTTTAGACAAAGTGGTGGAAATATTTAGCTAAAACTGTCAAAATACCGAAAATCGGAAGGTACCGTTATATGGGGTCTATCCCAAAACATGGAACGATATATCTCATTTTTAATACCAACCAAATGCATACTACTGTGCCAAATTTTAAAGCTCTGCGTCAAATAATGTGAGCTGTATCGTGATTTAAAAAAGCAGGTAGACAGGCTAACGTCTTTAACTCGACTTAGAATTTTATGCTAAAAGTGAATATGTATACTTTATGGGGTCTATGAAGAATATTGAGAGATGTTACAAACGAAATGACAATTTTAATATACCCTTCTTTCAACGATGTAGAGTATAAAAATATGTGCATCAATTTTTCCAAATAAAAACAAGAAAATATTCCCTATTTTTATACCCTCCACCATAGTATAGAGGGTATATTAAGTTTTTCATTCTGTTTGTAACACCTCGAATTATACATTTTGGACCCCACAAATTATATATATTCTTGATCAGCATAAAATTCTATGTCGATTTAGCAATGTCCGTCCGTCTGTAGAAATCACTTTAGCTTCCGAACAAGGAGGTTGATAACATTTGACAAAATTATATATTATGCCTGCAGGACTTTTGGTATTGAATCTGGGTCATGTAGGTCCACGTTTTTCATGCTACAGGCTATGAAAAAAAATTGTTTGTTCGGGGCCTCATATAACGGTACCTCCTGGTATTCGGTGTTTTGATGACTCTAGCGACTTTATCACCGGAATTGTTTCAAATTTGGTATTTGAAGTTCGTAATGGATACTACAGTCTATGACAGAAAATTGTCTGTGCAGGTCCACGTCTTGGTATAGCACCCATATAGTTTCGAATTTGAATATTGTAATGGCGTATGACAAAAGTTGCCTATGAAGGTCCGCGTCATCGTATATGCCCTAATATATCGGCTACATTCGGTATTTTTAGATTTTAACAGAATTTTAAAATTGTTTTCTGAAATTTGTCAGATTTGTTCCAAATGGCGGAGGGTATTAAAAGTTCGTCCCGGCCGAACATACAACTTTTTTGCTTGTTATACCCTACAACACTATGTGTTGGGGGTATTATAAGTTTGATTGGGCCAAAAATTATGTAACACCTCGAAATATTGGTTTTCCATATAGGAAAGTATATATGGATCTTCCTAGCTCGCCGAGCTGAGTCGATCTAGCTATGTATGTCCGTCCGTCCGTCTGTCCGTCTGTCCGTCTGTCCGTCTGTCCATGTTAATTTGTAATCACTCTACAGGTCGCAATTATGGCCCGATCTTCACGAAATTTAGAATGTAGGTGGGGCTTGGACCAGAATAGAACCCTATTGCTTTTGGAGATGATCGCCAAATGTTTAGGGGTTGAAATGGACCAAATACTGAAAAAATGTCGGATTTTGTAGTAGCTATACAGGTCGCAATTATAGACCAATCGACGCGAAATTTCGCATGTAGATAGAGTTTAGGGCGGGGAAGAAGCCTACTAATTTGGGTGGTCATCGGATAATATTTAGAGGGTAAAATACACCATATCTTTTTTGTTTAAAAAAATCAAAATTTTTCATTAAACCGCGAATATTTTAAATCCCGGAGAAATCACAAAGCCATCAAAAGGTTACTTCTGACCTTTACATTGATGTTATTATCCAACAAATCGGATATATAGCAAAATATGTGCGATATATATGTCTATCAAATGAGATATGCTTGAAAAATCTCTTATATGTCGAGAACGGCTGAACTGATTTTGACAGTTCTCATTAATTCAGAATGGCCTCTTGACAGGAAAGAAAAAACATCTAAAAAATCGCATAAAAATATCTCTCTAAAGATGAAAATATTGATTTTGTAAAATTTTCTCATATTTTTTCAATTTTGTCATATTTTTGGCATATTTTCATTTTGAATTAAACATTTGGTAATATTTCTACAGCTAACAAAACTAAGTAGTTAGGATATAAGGATATCATTTACAGATCTCATTTATGGCCCAATCCTTACGAAATTTTGCATGGAGATAAGATGAGGGTCAGAATAGGAGTCTACTCTTTTTGGAGATGATCGTTATATATTTAGGGGTTGAAATGGACCAAAAACTGCAAAATTGTCGGCAGGTCGTAATTATTGCCCGATTCTCACGCACATTTGAATGGGGGCTACCGGACATTGCAAAAGCCAAGCAGTTTTGGATGGCCATCCAAAAATATTCAATGTGTGAAGAAGTTTGCCAACTTTTGTAGAAAAAATATGAAAATGTCCATTCCAGTGACTTTTTGGAGAATTCACAAATACAGGAAAGACGCACTTCCGACTATTTCGTTAACGCTGATTTCGTTGAAGAATATAGTCAAATGTCTGTATCTCATATAGATGCGTTTCAGTCAAAAACCAATAATAAATGTTAATCTTTTGCCACTTCTGAGAGATTATAGATCTTTGGGAAATATTGGTTCCAGATCTAGGAAGACCATTTAAATGCAACATCTACAAATAAATTGGAAATGAGCAAATTCGTTTAAGTTGCTATTATTCGAAAATTAGAGAACGAATCCTGATGGTTTTCTTTTATTATTTGCCACAATATCTTGTGGAATTCTTTCGAGTATCTCGCATATATAAACTGTATCGTTTATTGTAGTGTTGTAGGGTATTCAACGGTCGGCCCCGCTCGACTGTAGCCTTTGCTTACTTGTTTTTTTAATAATTTAGCACTGCAAATTTGCTTATAATTTCACTATACAATAACATGACGGGGTTGGGGAAAATGTAGACTTGATTGAAATTTTTTTGTAGATCAAAACCCCAAAGGAGTTTCAGGTTCTTAGGTCATGCGTTGTTAAGACGTTTATTTTTTGGCTGTATAGAAAGGGACTCTTAGAATTGAAAACCGGAATTAAAACATATTTTGAAATAAACTTCAGGAATAACAGTTTTCTGAAAATTTAACAATTTATTTAACATACTAAAAAACAATAATGAGTGCATCTGTTTTTAAAACAATGACACTTTAATGATGTTGGTGGTAAGCTTGTGGTTGTGGGTATTGTTTGACCAAAGTAATGGGAGCTACTTGTTTGACAACAGTTTTGACATGGTCCAAGGGATAACGGTTGACGATGGCATTGAAACCACTGTGAGGATCAACGGTGTATTGAACGACACGTCTGAAGCCATCAGCATCGATCAACGAATATTCACCACGAACAACATCACCATCACGTTCTTCGGTTTGGCTGTGGACATCACCGGTATGCTCATCATTTACATCGTAGTTGTAGTTGTATTGAGGATGATCATCGTAGTGGGCTTCATGTTTTACCAAAACGGGTTTGGCATGGGCATAAGCTACTGGAGCAACCGTCTTCACAACAGTGGTGGTGGGAACAACTGGAGCTGCATGATATTCTTGCTGTAAGGGCAGGAGACCAGCACTGGCGACAGCAACGAACGATAAGATGGTGATGAACTGAAAGGATACTAAAATATGTTAGGAGGATGTAAACTAAAAATATTTATTAATATTTACTTTGAATGCCATTTTTCTATTTTTTTTTTTGTAGTTTGTTGAAGTTATAAATGAATGAATAGGTATGAGTTTGTATGATACATTTTTAAAATTGGCTTGCATATTTATATCAATCTCAATATTTATTTCTACACCCCCACAAAATTATTGTTTTATTGTTTACGTATTCATTATTTTATACATAAAAGAAAACATTCATAAATGTCTCTCACTTTCATTTCATTTGTGGTGGTTGGCAAAATATCAGGTTTTGAAAGGAGATTTGGTTTTAGTTCAATCCAAATGAACTGTGAGCCCTTTTTTTGTTCATTAAGAAATTGTGTTAAATAAGCAATAAACAAAAAAAAACAAAAAAAAAAAAACATTTAGTTAGGCTCGCCCCCTGCTATCAAAATACCGAATATCGAGAGGTGCCGTTATATGGGGGCAACACGAAAACGTGGACCTATACATACAATATTCCGCCACTGGAGCAAAACCCCATTATGATGTACATATACCAAATTTTAGACAAATCCGTGAAAAAAATGTGGCAAAAATAATCGAAATACTGAATATCGGGAGGTACTGTTATATGACGGCTATGCGAAAACGTGAACCTATACATAGAATTTTCCGCCCCAAGAGTTAGAACCCATTAAGCACTACAAAAACCAATTTTTAGACAAATCCGTGGTAGTTTGAAAAAAAAACATGAAAATACCTAATATTGGGAGGTACCGTTATATGGGAACTATAGTTATATTTGGAAATTTTAGGGAAAATCTGTTAACAATCAATCAAACTTACAAACATTTTCCTCTTCCATATATATATACATATATATATATATGTATATATATATATATATATATATGTATATATATATATATATATATATATATATATATATATATATATATCTAGAGAGAGAGAGAGAGATTTTGGGAGTTTCATAAGTTTTTTTTTTTGGTCCTAACCCCTTTAAAAAGTGGGGATTATGTCCGCTTCTAAAACGGACATGGTCTTCATGGGGAGTATGAAAAGTAGGAAAATTTTTCGGACATAATTGCCAGAAAGAAAAGAAGGCTATGCTCGGGTTGGCCTGACTTCTTATTAGAGATAGGTATTTTTAACCCGAATATGGCAAAATATTTTTTCGTGAGGTACCCGGTTATTCGACCCGAAAGTTCAGATACAAAAAATCTATCTGAATCCGAACTTATGGGTCGAATAAGCGGGTAACCAAGTATATCCCCATATAAAAATAATTTGCGTAATCCGGTTAAAAATACCTATCCCATAATGGAGTTTATGCCCGCAATCATTTTGGACATAATCCCTATTATGTCCGCTACCTACTGAGGAGTATGACAGATTTTTTGGGATATAATCTCCTTTCCCCATAGATCGGCATAAAATTCCATGTCTATTTAGCAATCTCCCACCGTCTGTCTGTCCGTCTCTTGAAATCACTTTAGCTTCCGAACGAAAAAAAAGAAAGAAAGGACAATAAAAAAGTAGCTAAGTTTGGCCGGCGGAAATTTTAATACCCTCTACGATTTTTAAGAAAAATGTAAAAATTAAAAAAAAAAATCCGGCGAAAAATACCGCTCGAAAGAAAACTGTTATATGGTGGCTATACGTTGTTCTGAATAAGTAATTTTCCGTCATAGGCTGTAGTACCCATTACGAACTTTGAATACGAAATTTAAAACAATTCCGTTGAAAATGTGAGAAAACATCAAAATACAGAATATCGGGTGGAACCGTCGTATGGGGGATGTACGATATCGTGGACCTATATAGACAATTCTCTTCCAGGGGGTAAAGTACTCAGAAGAAACTCCTTGCGTGGATTTTCAAACAATTCCATTGAAAAATGTGGCTAAAATCATAAAAATGCCAAGAATCGGGATGTACCGTTATATGGTGGATATACAGGGTGAGATAAAAAAACTGCAACAAAGTCAAACGCCATCATTTTTACATTTTCTTTTTTAATTTTATTGAATGAAAGCAAAAAATGTTGAAAATAGCATCACATTTTAGAATAAGTTCAGATTTGTTCGAATTGGTCACCTTTGGCAAGAATTATGGCCTTCAAACGGCCAATGAAAGCGTCACATGCTGCCCGAATGTTGCCCTGTGGTATTTTGGCCCATACCCGGTGAAGCGCTTGCTTGAGGTGATCGACACTTTGGTATTTTTTTGTGCCAGTCTTGCTTTCCAAAATACTCCAGACACAATAGTCTAACAGATTGGTATCCGGAAATTTTGGTGGCCATTGTGCGGTGGAAATGAAGCGAGGAACCTCATTTTGTAGTCACTCTTGGGTGGCGCGTGCTGAGTGTCCAAGGTCTGCGGCCAAAATGTTTGGGTGCCCAAGGCTTTGATATACCCTCCAGAATATTTTCGCGATAATATTCGGCATTTATTCTGATGCCACAGTCGATTAATACTGCCAAGTCGCTTCTTTACTTTTCGAACCATCTCTGCTAATGTTGCTGTTTTCTTCCGTCCACTTCCTTGACGTCGGGCTACGCTACCAGTATCATGGTAACGAGCGATGATACTAGACAAAAAAGATTTATTCACATTTAAATGCTGGAGTGCTCTAACGATAGCCACTTGTGGGTTTCCAGTCAAATATAAAGAAATCACGCTTGAATTCTATCACGAATAACTTTTTTTCTGGAAAATTCTCACCAAAATGTTTTGTACGCTTGTAAACAATATAGTAAGCTGTCACTGGAATAATTTTAACAGCTGTCGGACGAGTGGCTTAGAAATAACAGCAGTTTGAATTTGGTTGCAGTTTTTTCATGTTATCCTGTATAGGTCCAAGTATTGGTATAGTCCTCATATAAATGTAACTCCAGGTATTTGGTATTGATGATTTGTGTCACACTTTTGATTGTTTCAAATGTTGACTTTAGAACTCTATTTCCTATGACAGACATTTTCATCTACATATCCACGTCTTCGTATAGGCTCCACATAACGGTACCACCCAAATATTCGGTACTTTGACGATTTTAACTTTATTTTCCAATATTTCGAAATAGACGTCGCTTTCTCTGACGTAATATCAACTGTTGTGTTGCAAAAGCCAAACAAATTACAAGAACAACTATAACAAGTAAAAAAGCAGTAAGTTCGGTCGGGCCGAAGTTTGAATACCCTCCACAATTTGGAACGAATTAGAAAACTCTCAAAAAAAAAACAAAAACAAAGTCCATTAAATTTTATTTTAAATCTTTACAATATCTAATTTAGGAAGGTGCCGATATAAGGGGGTATATATGATATTGTGGACCTATTAAGACAAATCTATGTCTGGGTGTTAAGTACTCACAAGGAACTCCTTGTGTGGGTTTTCAGATAATTCCATTGTAAAAAGTGGCTAAAATCATCAAACTAATGAATATCGGGAGGTATCGTTATATGGGGGATATACGATATTACGGACCTATATAGACAATTTCCTTTCGGGGGGTAAAGTGCTCACAAAGAACTCCTTGTGTGGATTTTCAGACAATACGATTTGAAAATGTGGCCAAAATCATCAAAATACCGCATAGGGGGGGGGGGGGGGGGTACCGTTATACGGGTGCTATACGATATGATTAACCTTTATAAAGAATTCTCTGTTAGGGGGTAAAGTGCTCACAAAAAACCCCTTGAGTACAATTTCCGTTGAAAAATGTGGCTAAAATCATCAAAATACCGAATATGGAGGTTACCGTTATATGGGGGCTATACGATATCGTGGACCTATATAGATAATTCTCTGCCGAGGTATAAAGTACCCACAAGGAACTCCTTGTGTGGATTTTCAGATAATTTCGTTGAAAAATGTGGGTAAAGTTATCAAAATACCGAATATGGAGGTTACCGTTATATGGGGGCTTTACGATATCGTAGACCTATATAGATAATTCTCTGCCGAGGTATAAAGTTCCCACAAGGAACTCCTTGTGTGGATTTTCAGACAATTCCATTAGAAAATGTGGCTAAAATCATCAAAATACCGAATATCGGGGGGTACCGTTATATGGGGGCTATACGATATCGTGGACCGATACAGCCCATCTTCGAACTTGACCTGCCTGCAGACAAAAGAGAGATCTGTGCAAAATTTTAGCTTTCTATCTTAATTCGTTTAGACTGTAGCGTGATTACAACAGACGGACAGACGGACGGACAGGGCTAAATCGTCTTAGAATTTTACGCTGATCAAGAATATATATATACTGTGTTGGGTCTAAAATGATTATTTCGATGAGTTACAAACGGAAAGACGAACTTAATATACCCTCCATACTATGTATGGCGGAGGGTATAAAAAATAATTCCTAGCATTTTTATACCCTCCACCATACTATGGAGGGTATATTAATTTTGTCATTCCGTTTGTAACTCCTCGAAATATTCATGTCAGACCCAACAAAGTATATATATTCCTGATCAGCGTAAAATTCAAAGACGATTTAGTCATGTCCGTCTGTCTGTCTGTGTGTCTGTTTGTCTGTCCGTCTGTCTGTCTGTTGTAATCACGCTATCTTTCGAACAAATTGAGATAGAAGGCTAAAATTTTGCACACATGTATTTTTTCCCAGTAGGCAGGTTAAGTTCGTAAATGGGCCATGTAGGTCCAAGTTATCATATAGCCCCCATATAACGGTACCTCCCGATATTCGGTATTTTAATGATTTTAGCGACATTATTCACCGGAATTATTTCAAATTTCGTATGTGAAGTTCGTAATGGATACTTCAGCCCATGCCAGAAAATTGTCTGTGCAGGTCCACGTCTTCGTATAGCCCCCATATAACGGTACCCCCCATATTCGGTATTTTGACGATTTTAGCTACATTATAAACAGATTTTTCTTCAAGTTTCGCATTTAAATATTGTAATAATTTATGACTGTAGTTGCCTTTTTTACTTGTTTTTTTTTTTTTTTTTTGCAATTCGCGAAATTTATTTATATCTGACAATACTTTCAAAACTCCAATAAAAGAAAACATATTTGTCTCCCACACAGTAACTTGTATTGTCCAACAATCCAAAAATCACATGCAAAAACCTTCAACATAAAAACAATAAATTTAACAATTGAAATATTGCTTTCTTTATTAATTGGCTACAAATAGTCACTGGAGTTTAAGTATTAATCATATCAAAACCTAACACCACTCGAAAGACACAAAGCTAATTGTTTTACAATATTTTACAAATCTGAAAAAATGGCATTCAAGGTAAAATTGTCACAATTTTTTTTTGCATTTTTGAAAATTAATTTAGGAATTATTTTTTCCCGTTTTAGTTCATTCCCATCCTGGCATTTATTGTTGTTGCCCAAGCAGGAGTTTTACCACAATATTATCGCTCCGAACCAACACCCCAAGTATATCATCCAGTTGCAGTACCCAGCGCTGTTGTCAAAGCAGTTGCCCCTGTGGCATATGCCCATGCCAAACCCGTATTGGTGAAACATGATGCCCATTATGATGATCATCCCCAATATAACTATAACTACGATATAAATGATGAACATACCGGAGATGCCCATAGCCAAGTAGAAGAACGTGATGGTGATATTGTTCGAGGTGAATACTCGTTGAACGATGCTGATGGTTTCAGACGTGTCGTTCAATACACCGTTGATCCCCACAGTGGTTTCAATGCCGTCGTTAACCGTTATCCCTTGGACCATGTCAAGACTGTTGTTAAGAAAGTTACCCCCGTAACTTATGTTGCCCCTTCGCCAGCAGTTGTTAAGCAATACCATGCTGTACCACAAGTCTATCATCAACTTCATTAGAATGCCATTTATTTTGTTGTTATACAATTTTTAATTGTTTTATATGTAATTAAATATATTTTTTGAGTTGTTACTGTATGTCAAAATGTTAAAAATATTCCTGACCAAAGATGGAATTACGTTATCCTGCAAAGAATGTCATTACCAAATAATGAATTTATTAAGCGCTTGCTAAGTGTGCTTAATAAATTCATTATTTGGTAATTACTTCAGAACAAAAGTATGCAAAAAAGTACAAACATCATCGATTACGAGAATTAAATTTTGTTTAATGACTTGTGTGTGTGCACATCTTCGCAATTTTCAAATATTTGGAATATTATTCGTCGTCGAGATCTGAACAAGTGTATAATTCGCATATGCTAATTTGCAATAAGTTCGAAATATATACTACTTTCCAGAGAACGGCCCTTGTAAGCCATCATCCACATCAAATATGCCTGATGAGCCGCTTAACCAACGGCGAAACGCGTCGCATAGTGGTGAGTGTGTGATAGTGTCTGTCTGGCTTTCCTTTTCACTGCAAATTTCAGATCATTAAGCTCGTCTCGAAAGAGAAAACAAACACTTAAATCATAAAACATATGATCTTCGCCTTAACAAGGCAAAACTCAAAAATTCAGCCGAGCCTGGCTGTGGGATTTGAACCGCGGACCTCTGTGTGCAGCCAACTAGAAGTTGCCGTCTCTACGTTCAGAGCCATTAACCCGTCTTCCTAAAGCAGCACTAAAACAAGTGTATGCATTGGAAGCAATGTAGTTGTTGTGGACAAAAAATCCATCACTACAAAAACAAAACGTTGCTGTGAAAAAGATCTGCCAATAGAACTTGAGTCGAACCTGGAGAGTTTCTAGTGTATAATTCGCATATGCTAATTTGCAATAAGTTCGAAATATATACTACTTTCCAGAGAACGGCCCTTGTAAGCCATCATCCACATCAAATATGCCTGATGAGACGCTTAACCAACGGCGAAACGCGTCGCATAGTGGTGAGTGTGTGATAGTGTCTGTCTGGCTTTCCTTTTCACTGCAAATTTCAGATCATTAAGCTCGTCTCGAAAGAGAAAACAAACACAAGTGACATTAGTGTTTGTCTCAATGCTGGGTAATGATGTAAGTAATTTTAACTGAAGGTATGCAGCTGCAACGATGTGTGGCCAAATTGGAGTTTTTGAAATTTTACATTTGAAAAGTGGAAGTTTGGATTTTGCCACCGAATTGCGATTTTGAATATTTAAACGGCATTTTGTTTCGCTCCTTGCAAAAGTCTTTCAATATAGACTCACTGAAAAACTGCCAGTGGCTGTCGTTACAGCACTGCAGCATTTAAATGTGAATAAATCTTTTGTGTCTCGTACCATTACCGTGATACTCGTAGCGTAACCCGACGTTAAGGTAGTGGACGAAAAAAAAAACAGTAAAATCAACAGAAATGGTTCGATAAGCAAAGAAACGACTTGTCGAAACCAGCGTCCCAGTCGCCGAAAAATGAGCTGAGCGCAATGTTCCATTCGGAAAATATTGAAAAATGAGCTCGGGGTAAAGCCATTGAAATTCCAAAAATTGCAAGAATTTACACAGCATCAGAAGTAAAATAGTCTCAAAAGAGTGGTAAACTGTCGAATTTGGTTTTCTCCGATGAAAAAACATTTGTTGTCCAGCTATTTGTAAACAAACAAAATGATCATGTTTACTTGTCAAAGAGGTCAGCTGAAAATGCTGAAAATGCGGCCATGGTGATGGTATGGGACGCCACAACAGCCGATGGTCGCTCTCCGCTCGTATTAATCGACCGTGGAATCAGAATAAATGCCGAATATTATCGCGAAAATATTCTGGAGTGCGTATTAAAGCCTTGGACACGCAAATATTTTGGCCGCAGACCTTGGACATTCCAACAGGACTCAGCACGCGCCACACAAGAATGGTTATAAAATGAGGTTCCTCGCTTCATTTCCAGCGCACAATGACCGTATTTTGGAAAGCCGGGAATGGGCCAAAATACCACAGAGCCGTTTGAAGGCTTCGTGCCAAAGTTGACCAATTCGAATAAATCGAAACTTATTATAATCTAAATCTAGTAGATCAAAATCCCAAATGGGTTTTGGGTTCCCAGGACAAACTTTAGGGCCCATTACATGATTAGTCTTAACCATACACAGAGGGTCTCAAGTATCTTGCGCGCAAAATCTAAGGCAGAGCGGGTTTTTAGGTTACGTGTAGAATCATTTGTACAAAATATGGTTCATTCTGGCCCCTATATAAGGAAATATCGATGCGTCGATTGGTCTTTAACCTGTAGAGCAACTGCAACATTTTTCTGTTTTTGGTCAATTTCAACCCCAAGATATTTTGCGAAAATCATCAAAAACAGTAGGCTTCTATTTTAACCCTATTTTCAATTTAACGAAGAATTTCATGAGTATTGGGCCGTCATTGCGACCTGTAGCTGATTATACACTAATATGGACAGACGGACATATTTGGATCGACATAGCTCGACAGTGCCGCAACTTCGTCATTGCACAATTGACCCACATCTAATTTTTCTGTCAAAACCTATTTCAACGTCTCCATATTTAAACTCTAGAAACCAACAGTGACCTCAATATCTAATTTCAGAATTTCAACTCTATCCCATCACCCAATACCAAAATTAGTAACATTTAGTACGTATATCTAAACTAAACTACATCCCCCCATCCTTGATATCAACTGTGATCCAAAATGGGTAACATTTAGTTATTTTCGAATCATTATAGTACATTTTTCCACAAATCATCTCAATATCTCTATTCAGCTCAATCTCTTGTCGTACATTTATAGTATACATTTCCAAAACTACATCCATATCTTAAACACAAACCCCAGTATCTATATCAAATTTCGGGACTCCAGCTCAATGCCCATTGCCAAATATCTCACCCTGTATAGAAAATATTTACAAACCTACCTTCATATCTTAACCACAAACCCCATCATTATCTACATCAAATTTCAGGATTAAAACTCCATCCCCTTACCCATTACCAAATATAGTACCATTTAGTAATTTTCGTACAATTATATTTCATTTTTTCGAAAACAACTCCTTATGCCCAGACTACACGTGTACAGCGAGCCTAATACCCAATTTCAGATTTCAAGCATTCTCTCTTCGCTCAGTTCCAAATTGACCAAATACAGGACTATTTAGTACTTTTCGGATTCCTGATACCAACAGATCGAATTAGAGGATACCAACCCAATCCCTTCACCTAGTACCAATTCTAGTACCACTTAGTACTGTCCGTACAATGTACAGCATATTTCAAAACCTCCACCAAAACTCAAACACAGATACCATCAATAATTTAAATAACAAATTTGAGAACTTTACCTCTATCCTTTTGTCCAATACTAAATATAATACTATTTAGTAGTTTTCCTACACTTGTAGTACATATTTCCAAAAGTTCCTCCATATGCCCAGGCCACACATGAACAGTGACCCTAATACCAAATTCCAGATTTAAAGCACTTTCTGTTCACCCAATAGGAAATATAGCACTATTTAGTACTCTTCGTGCTCTTGCAGTACATATTTCCAAAACCACTTCCTAATCACAAACCAACAATCAACCCTAATACAAAATTTTCAAAATTCAAGCTTCATCCGTTTACCGATAAAGATAAAAAACTGCAGCCAACTTCAGACTGCTGTCATTTCTAAGCCACTCGTCCGATAGCTGTTAAAATTATTCAAGTGACATCTCATTATATTGTTTACAAGCGTACAAAAGCATTTCGATGAGAATTTTCCAGAAAAAAAAGTTATTCGTGATGGTATTCAAGCGTGATAGTGTGATTTCTTTACTTGGCTGGAAAACCAAAAGTGGCTATCGTGGAGGGTGTATTAAAGCTTTGGGCACGCAAACATTCTGGCCGCAGACCTTGGACATTCCAACAGGACTCAGCACCATTGCACTCAGCACGCGCCACCCAAGAAATAAGGCTCCTCGTTTCATTTCCAGCGCACAATGGCTACCAAAATCTCCGGATACCAATCCGTTTGACTATTGTGCCTGGAGTATTTTGGAAAACAAGGTTGACACTAAAAAATACCAAGGCGTCGATCAAGCGCTTCGCCGGGAGTGGACCAAAATACCGCAACGCAACATTCCGGCAGCGTGCGACGGTTTCATTTGCAGTTTGAAGGCCATTTCGTGCCTAAGGTGACCAATTCGAACAAATTTAAACTTATTCTAAAATTTGATGCATTTTACGACATGTTTTGCTTTCTTTCAATAAAATTAAAAAAAAAAAAATAATAAAAATTATGGCGTTTGACTTTTTTGCAGTTTTTTTATCTCACCCTGTATACAGATTTAAGGAAGTTATTTGAAATCGTATTAACTGTGCACTTTATTGAAGAGCAGTTACGATTTTAGACCGATTGAACTTTGAAATCGGATGGGACTAACGTATGGGAGCTATCTATTAATCTGAATTGATTTCCACGATAATGCAATTTTTGTGCACTAACCAATTGAAAGTTATCGATTTTGATTATTCCCCAAGCAATAAAGTTGCGTCTAGATTCTAATTAATTTATTTATCACATTTAGTACGCTTAGACATTCATGGATTCCAAAAGTTTTGAGATCTGTACCATCTTACAAGTTTTTAACATATGCAGCGGGTGCTACATAAGGAGCAGCAACAACAGGAGCAGCAGCAACAGGGGCGGCAGCAACAACGGGGGCAGCCTTTACAACTGGGGCGGCCGCAACAACTGGGGCAGCCTTGACGACAGGAGCAGCAGCAACAACGGGAGCGGCAACAGCAATTGGTTCACGACGAACAACGGCATTGAAACCGTTGACAGGGTCAGCGGTGTAGGTGACGGTACGTCTCAAGCCATCAGGATCGACCAAAGTGTATTCACCACGAACTACATCACCATCACGTTCCTCCACATGGCCCTTAGAGTCACCGGAAAGACCATCTTGGACATCATAACCGAATTTGTATTGGGGATGGGGATCGTATTCCTCAAGTTCGACAGCCTTGGCCAAAACGGGAGCAGCTGGAACAACGGGAGCAGCTGGGACAACGACAGCGGCACTGGCGGCAGCAACGAAGGCGAGAGCAATTACCAACTGTTCAAAGCATAAAAACACAAAATGTTTAATACTTTTTAACACTCGATACTTTTTAGCTAGATATCTTTGTTTGTCAAAATAGGCACTATTCAAGAATCTTCCACATTTTCTTCTTTTTTGGTTTTATTTTCTTGCACACTAACCTTGTAGGCCATTTTTGGTTGATTTCTGTTAAGCCACTTAAATGTTCTTTACACTTTGCGTCTAAAACACGGAATGTGTCTTGCACCGATTATTAGCCACAATTTATACTTGGCGTCATTTTTTTCGGCATTGAGTCGTCTTCATTGATATGCAATATTTGTCTTCTATTCTGTTCACTGTTTTGACCATTATTAATAATCTATTCACGCTCGGATACCACAACATTGCGCTCATATATCCATCATATAATTTCATAACAATGTTCTTTTGGCCAACGATGCCTGCCAACTGTGATCAAATCTTTGAACTTGTTTCAAATACAAATTAGAATTGGGCCAATGTTATAGTTTTCTCCACTAGGATATGGGCACACATGCACTCAGATTTTATTTATAAAACAGTTGTTGACATTTTCATTTGAAGTCCCCATAAAATAACAGTGGGACAGGTCTAAAAGATTTGCGAATTTTGATTCCATCACCATGAAAAAAACGCAAAAAATCTCTAGTTTCTTTATTTTGGCGACCGATACACAAGTGTTCCACTGTTACCGAAATTTACCTCCATGCTGTTTACTTTATAAATAGTCCACAGCTATCCAGCTAGAATCAACATAAATTCCTATTTAAATCTACTCTTGATATTCCAACAATGCATACGTTCTTATGGCAAATTTGTTTGACATTTCGCATAAATCTCTAATCATTTTTATACCCTACAACACTATGTGTCGGGGGTATTATAAGTTTGATTGGGCCAAAAATTATGTAACACCTCGAAATATTGGTTTCCCACATAGGAAAGTATATATGGATCTTCCTATCTCGCCGAGCTGAGTCGATCTAGCTTTGTATGTCCGTCTGTCCATGTTAATTTGTAATCAAGCTACAGGTCGCAATTATGGACCGATTCTCACGAAATTAAAAATGGAGGCGGGTTTAGGGTCAGAATAGAACCCTATTGTTGTAGGAGATGATCGCACGATATTTAGGGGTTAAAATGGACCAAAAACAGAAAAATTTCCTGATTTTGCAGTTGCTCTATAGGCCACAATTATGAACCAATCGACGCGAAAATTTACATGGAGTTTGAATTTAGGCGTGGGCAGAAACCTACCAATTTGGCCATCGGACAATAATTAGCGGTTAAAATAGACCCTAACTTTTATGTAAGAAAATAGGAAAATTTTCACTAAACCGCGAATATTTTCAATCCCAGCCAAATCACAAATACATTAAAATATCACTTTTGACCATTACAGTGATGCTAATAGCCAAGAAATCGGATATAAAGCAAACTAGGTACAATATATATGCCAGAGAATTGATCTTATTTATTCTGCTTATAAATCAAGAACCGCTGGGCCGATTTTCACAATTCCCATAAATTCGGAATGGTCTCTTGCCAGAAAACGATATACCAATAAAAAAAGTGAATGTCTTTTGTCGAATTGTTTTTCAATTTTTGTCATATTTTTTATCGCTCGCGATTTTTTCAATTTGACTTACAATTTTGAATTGTAAATTTTCTACATTTTTACACCCCCCAACACTACCTTTTGAGGGTATTATATGCATTTTGCAATTATCGTCCGATCCTCACGAAATTTTGCATGAGAGTATGGTTAGGGTCAAAATTAAAGCCTATTGTTCTTAAGATGTTCATTTAGAGGTGCAAATTGACAAAAAAATTCATTTTTTCTAATTTTGTAGTCGCTCTATAGGCCACAATTGAAAACTTATTGACATAGAGTTTTGCATCAGAAGAGAGTTAAGGACAGGGACATTATTTTTGTCATTATTTCAAAACCGAAATCTTCCAAATTAGATTTGGACAAAAGTGGACTTCGAACATATTGTAGTGTTGTCGGGTATCACATGGTACCACACTTTTAGAAAAAAAAAAATTAAAAAGGAATATGCCATTCATGCGATACTCTGCCAAAATATTCTTGCCTAACAAATGCATTGCACATAAGTAATTATGTGCAAATACTATGTCCACATGTATGTTGTTTGAAAAAGTTGGTAGCTAAAAATTGATGTTAAAGGTTAGTCTGCGAAAGGGAGGGGTGAAGAAAACCTTAAAGTTTATCTCGTCCAATTGCCTTCTTCCAAAGAAAACTCAATTTTCTCTACAGCAAACTATCTATGGGTGATTTTGTCTTTGGTAATACAAGGTGGCGCAAAAGAAAACTTTTTTTGGCTGTAATTTAAAAAAAAAACAGTAGAGAAAGTCTTAAAGTCGGGCGGGGTCGATTTTATGATACCCTACACCACTTTGCTAATGTAGTAAAGCTCCACATAACAAATAAAAGTTTTTTATGGGAGAATTCAATCATACACGCTATGATTAATTTTAATGTTCAAAAGACTAAATATGCCAAAGCATTTGTATCTTTTAAATTCGGACTTGTATTGCCCATTTGATATATATCTATATATCCAAATCTGAACCGATCTTGATAAACTTTGGCAAATATATTTCTGAGCTGTATTTCATATATTTCCCTGAATATCGTTGACACGGAGTGCATATTACGGCTGTGGGTAACAAATATAACAAATCGGATGAAAAATATATATGGGAGCTATAGCTATATCTGAACCGATCTTCACCAAATTTGACATACTAGCTTCTAGACTCAATTCGATCGTAAGATTTATCCCATTTGGGCAAATATTAGACGTTTGGTGCACAATAAAAGGCAAATAGGACGAAGGTATTTATGGGAGCTATATCAAAATTTTGACCGACAAATGATTTGTGCAAAATGATGCAAAATGACAAATGATTTGTGCAAAATTTCATCTGCATCGGGTAATAAATGCGAACTGTACTTTGTTCACAAAAATACATGGACAGACGGACGGACATGCATAAATCGACTCAGAATGTGATTTTATGCAGATCATCAAAAGGAAGTATGGGTCTATCTCGTTTCTTTTTGCCTGTTACACACAAATGCACAAAAGACATAATATCCGGACCACCTTGTGGTGTAGGGTATAAACAGTAAGGAAAAGTCAAAAGTCGGCCGGGTCGACTATATGATATCCTACACCATTATACATATTTAGTAGATCTCCTGTAACAAAAGAATTTATTTAAAGTAGATCATACCACCTATCAACATTTGGCTTTAGAGCAGTTTAGTTTGATTTCGGAGGGAAATAATTTATGGGAGGCACATCCAATTCTGTATCGATTTTCACTAAATTTGATGGAGACATTTTAATTTTTTATAGCAAATAACATTCCCAAATAGTGCATGATATTACTTCGAGAAGTATTATATTAAACAAGTAATTAAGGGCTATAGTCATGCGGGCCTAATATGCGATACCCTACAACACTACAATATGTTAAAAGCCCCCATATGTCCAAATTCATTTTGGAAGATTTCACTTTTGAAATTATGTCACGGAGCACTGTCCAGATATTACCCTTTCGACCATGGACATTTGCCCAATATTTACGCACTCCGTCGTGCTGTTATTGGTTGTGGTCCATTTAACAGCTAAATATAGTCCAATGGTCATCCAAAATGCTGGAATTCTTCCCTGTGCTTAACGCTCTTCTCAGGCGTGTCGATTGGTTTCAATTGTGTGATCAGGAAATTTTTTTCTGTTATTGGTTCATTTGAACCCCTAAATATTTTGCGATCATCTCCAAAAGCAAGAGGCCCCTCTGTATCTCTAAATTTAGACTCGTCTATATGATTTCAGCGTTTCGGTAGAATGGAAATATTTTATTTTTTCATACAAAAGTAGTGGTCCATTCTACCCGTAGTCCTAAACTCTAACTTCATTTTCTTTCATTTCCTTCTTCTTTGGTTTCCATTTTTCACCTTTATAATGGCTGCAAATTCAGGAAAATGTTTAGTTATTGGTTCATTTCAACCACTAAATATATTGCGGGCATATTTTAAAACGATAGACCTAGCCCTTCTGAGCCTAACCCTACCCTTGTGAGGATCGGACGATAATTGTAATCTGTATATAATAACCCCAACATATGTTGTAAGGTGAAAAAATATTACAAAATATGCACTTCAATATTATAAGCCAAATTGAAAAAATCGCATGCCATAAAAAATATGAAAAAATAAAAAATGTCACAAAATACTATAAAATCTATATTAATATTATTATTGGCATCTTTTTATGCGATTTTTTTTAGATTTTATTCTTTTATGCCAAGAGGGCATTCTGAATTGACAAAATTTGTCAAAATCGGCCCAGCCATTCTTGAGATATAAGCATTCTTGCTAACATCCCCGCCCTTTATATATATATATATATATATATATATATATATATATATATATATATATATATATTATATTATATATTTCGCTATTTATATTTACTATCGACATCTACGTAACGGTCAGAATTGACCTGTTCGTCTATTTGTGATTTCGCTGGAATTAAAAATATTCGCGGTTTACTGGAAAATTTGACTTTTATTTAACACAAATGTTATGGTCTATATCATCCACTAAATATTACCCGACGACCTTTAAAATTGGAAGGCTTCTGTCCAGTCGTAAGCTCCAGCCCCATTCTAACTTCCGCGTCGATTGGTCTATAATTGCGACCAGTAGATAAACTGCAAAATCAGGAAATTTTTCAGTTTTTGGTCCATTTCAACCCCTAAATATTATGCGATCATCTCCATAGGCTTCAATTCTTCAATCCGAAATAGGTTGAAGAGGTATATTGGAGCTATAGCTATATATAGGTTGAAGAGGTATATTGGAGCTATAGCTATATTTGAACCGGTTTCCAAATTTCATTTACTTGCTTCTAGACTGAATTCGGTCGGATGTGCAAAATTCAGGTCATTTGGAATAATATTGGCCATTTGGTGCACATTAAATCCGAAATCGGTTGAAGATATGTACTTGATCCAAAATTAAACCGATCTTGGTCAAATTTATCAGAGGTATTTCTGAACTCTCAAAGGTATATTATTGTTATCGAATGTATATTACCCGTATGAGGGACTGTAAACCCCAAATCGGATAGAACATATAGATGGGAGCTATAGCTATATCTGGACCGATTTACACCAAATGGGAATTACTGGTTTCTAGGGTGAATTAAGTAGTGCTTTTCAAAAGTCAGTCGATTTGGGCTGATATTATCCATTTGGTGCACAATAAACATGATATCGGATAAATTTATATATGGGAGCTATATCGAAATCTGAACCGATCTTGATAAAATTCAGTGATATTTCTGGGCTTTATCTAATGTCTGGTACCAAATGTCATTCTTTTGGAGGGCATATTACTTATGTGAGGGACTTAAACCCCAAATCGGATGAAAAATATATATGGAAGCTATAGCTATATTTGAACCGATTTTCACCAAATTTAATGCACTTGCTTCTAGACTGAATTCGCTCGGATGTACCAAAATTTGGGTCATTTGGTCTTATATTGGCCATTTGGTGCACAAATCGGTCGATGGTGCACATCTAAATCTGATCCAATTATCAGCAATTTCAATGGGGTTCGTCCTTGGTCAAACAATTGTTTTTGTTTGCATAATTTCATATCAATCGGATAACAAATGCGACCAGCATTTTGTTCACGAGAACACATGGATGCACGGACGGACTGACATGCATAAATCGACTCAGAAAGTTATTCTATGAAGATCCTCAAAAGTAACTGTAGGTCTATCTATCTCGTTAAAACAGAACTGATATTAGAAGCCAATCGTAAAATTTATATCATTTTCTGATATTATTACTATTGCGCTACCTTGTACAATTAATTTACCAGATTTTCAGTATCTTGGGGGTTTTTGCCACAATATTCAACCAAATTAGATGAACCTTGATAACAGGGGTTCTCGGCAGGTCTGTTCGCTCCCAGCAAAAAATTTACGATTTAGGTCAACTATTAGGTGTAGCCCCATTTAACGATGCGTCCAGATTTTCGGTATTTTGAAGGTTTTTGCCTCAATTTCAACAAAATTAGATAATAATATGGGTTTCACTATTTGGGTTATTTTCATACCCTTCACCATCTATACTATGGAGGGTATATTAAGTTCCTCATTCCGTCTGTGGTTATCACGCTAGAGACAAAATGAATTAATATAGGAAGTTCGAAGGTGGGCTATATCGGTCGGCGATATTGTATGATTGTATCGACAATCAGTATTTTTCGACGGTATATTTTTTTAAATATTTGAAGTTCCTTCTTAGGTGCTTTTTACTTGTTTTTATTATTATCCCTCTCTCTTTTGCCTTCCTTTGAATTAATTTAAGTTAAATTGTGGTTCTATATTGGCAATTTATTTAGTTTTTAAAAATTCTGTATGAAACCCTTGAAATTCCTAAAATATACATACTGTTACATATGGCCTATATTTAATAGTGGACTTATTTTCACAAAATTGAGCAGGGAGAGATTCTGTAAGCTCTGAACTCAAAATGTCAAGTAACTCTTCTGCTCCAAGCCTTCAAAATACCAACAAGTAAAAAAACATTAAGTTCGGCCGGGCCAAACTTTTAATACCCTCCACCTTAGGGTAAAAGAAACATTAGAAGAAATGTGGCAAAAACCATTAAAATGCCGAATATCGGGAGGTACCGTTATATGGGGGCTACACCAAATCGGGGACCTATAATTACAATGTTTCGCCGCACGAACTAGGACCCATTATGACCCACAAATACCAATTTTTAGACAAATCAGTGAACAAAATGTGGCAAAAACCATCAAAATACCGAATATCGGGAGGTACCGTTATATGAGGGCTATATCAAATCATGGACTCATGCATGCAATGTTTCGCCACAGGAGCTGGAACCCATTATGACCAACAAATACCAATTTTCAGACAAATCCGTGAAAAAATGTGGCAAAAAAAAACTAAAATACCGAATCCGTGAAAAAATGTGGCAAAAAAAAACTAAAATTCCGAATATCGGGAGGTACCGTTATATGGGGACTATATATCTCATCTCGTGGACCGATATATCTCATTTTCAATACCAACCATCCTAGCCACAATGCAAATTGCTCTGCTACATTTTGGCGCTCTACGTCAAATAATGTGGGCTGTATCGTGATTTCAACAGACAGACAGATAGACGGACAGACAGACTGACGGAGAGACAGACAGACAGACGGACATCGTTAAATCGACTTAGAATTCTATGCTGATTATGAATATATATACTTTATGGGGTCTAAGACGAATATTTAAGGATGTTACAAACGGAATGACAAAGTTAATATACCCTCCTTTCCAAGGTGGAGGGTATAAAAATCTGGAAATCAAAACAAAAATCAAATACTGGAGGAATCTACTTATAACTCTAAATGTCAAATTACACATGATTTGGTTTAAATTTGTGGTCAAAACCTTCAAAATACCGAAAATCAAGAAGAAACTCATATGGGGGCCTTATCGAAACGTGGACCGATGTGTCCCATTTTTCATATAAAACATAATAGGGCTAATGTAAATGTCTGAGCAAAATATCAAATCGGTAGAATGCTTCCCTGAATTAATCGCCGTTTTCGAGGATCTCACCCTAATGTGCGACGTCAGCAATAATATCTGATTGATTTTCTAGTGTCATTCGGCAAATATATAGGTTACGAACAGCATGTGGTTCACAATTCCACTACCTATTATGAAGGAAAAATTTGACGGAATTTATTCGGAATCTCCCTTTAAATAATAAACATATTTTTTGGTTTTAAATTGTATTAAGATATTTTGTATTTATCTACAAACTACGGCAACAATTTTGGCTAACACACAGTTATCAGTCACATAATCAATTAACAATAATGGCATTTAATGGTGGTGAGCATAGTAAGCTGGAGCTGCGTAGGTGGTGTAGGCTGGGGCAACGGACTTAACAACGGTGGCGGGAGCAGCATAGGTGGTGTAGGCTGGGGCAACGGACTTGACAACAGCGGGAGCTGAGTAAGTGGCATAAGCTGGAGCTACAGATTTTACAACAGCGGCTGGAGCAGCATAGGTGGTGTAGGCAGGAGCAACAGTTTTAATGGCGGCAGGGGCAGCGGCGTATGTGGCATAAGCTGGAGCTACCGATTTTACAACAGCAGCTGGAGCAGCATATGTGGTGTAGGTTGGAGAAAAAGTCTTGACGACGGGAGCAGCAGCAGCATAGTGAGCAACTGGGGCAACAGTTTTTACTACAGCAGCGGGAGCAGCATAGTGGGCAACTGGGGCAACAGCCTTGACAATGGTTTTGGCAACCAAAGGTTCACGACGCACAACAGCATTGAAACCGTTGATGGGATCGGCAGTATACTGGACGGTACGTCTGAAACCATCAGAATCGTTCAAGGAATATTCACCGCGCACTACATCACCATCACGTTCCTCAACCTGGGTCTTGGAGTCACCGGAAATGGAATCTTGGACATCATAGCCGAATTTGTACTGGGGATGAGGATCGTATTCTTCGACAGCCTTAGTCAAGACGGGAGCAACGGTCTTGACAACAGCAGCAGCAGCGGGGGCAGCATGATACACCTGAGGGCTAGAGATGAAGCCGGCATTGGCAACGGCAAGGAGGGCGAATACAGCTACGAACTATAAGAAAAAAATGACCACACATATTAATTAAACTCCTGTAGTATTTCAAATCATTCATTCATGGATTGATTAGCTTACTTTGAATGCCATTTTGTTGACGCTTGGAAATGTGACAACGAGTCTGTGTTTCTTCTTGGAGTTGAAGTTGAAGTGTGTTATCTTTCATTGAAATTCAAGAGGCTTTTATGTTATAAGCTACCTCTTCGGCACTTTATGGCTGGCAAGCGTGGCCTGTACGAGCCAGGGTTAATTGTGGGTCCATTCAGGTGTGTGTGTGCGTGTGTTGGTTGTGCTTTTTGTAATTGTAGATCAAATAGCAAATCAAATGTAGCTGCTGGCTTTATTACCACCGATTATCGAGAGCGCAGTTGTCTGAATTCATTGCCAACAATTGTAATGAGCGTTGTCAAGTGTTTTCTGATACAGTTTCAATTTTTTTGTGTTTTCCATGTTAACGGTGTCGATTAATTAACTCCGCTACTGTGCAAATGCAGACAGGCGCCTGGTGACACAAAGAAGCACATACTTGCCGTGTCGGTATGTGTTGAAATTTTATCGAAATTCCTCCAAAGTACTTGCAAAAATCTATTTTTGGCGATGATTAATCGCTAATGATTTATGTGTGAGAAAAATAAATCCCTTCAAAGCTTATGTTAGGCAGCCGGATATGCGTTATTGTTGGTTGAGTGATAAGTTGTGAACGGTTTAAAGTACCTTTGTTTGGCAGACGAGGGTAGTTACCAAAGTAAACGTATATTTTCAATAGGATTTTTGAAATTGTAAATTTTTTACGAGTTGAATGCCAAAGAGTTCTTAAGACATAGCTTCAATCAGTTCAGTGTCTCATAAGCCTACAACTCCAGTCCTATATTGTCTAGGACTCTAAAATAAACTTCGGAATGAAAAAAAAATGCCGCAAAAGTTTTGCTGAATATATGAATTTAAAACTGAGTTTTCTAAGCTACAGTTCTACGCATTATGGCTAGAATTGGAATAAGCTCATTAAATAGGTTTATATTTTTGGAGGTTCCTACTAAAAAAGATAATAAAAATATAGAGTGTTAAAATTTTTGAAAACATTAGTTTTGCATCAAATTCCGTTACACTTTCGATATTTCATTCGGAGGCATCAAATACATGAAATCGACCGAAAATATATGGGAGCTGTATCCAAATCTGAGCCGACTTCAATATAATTTGACAAATTTTTATTTGTACCAAATTCCGTTACAAATTCCAAATTTTATTTGAATCGGATATACTCTACCCTCTGAATTGTCTATATATGTCCACGATATCGTATATCCCCCATATAACGGCACACCTCCTCCAATATTCGGTATTTTGATGATTTAAGCCACATTTTCAATAGAATTGTCTGAAAATCCACACAAGAAGTTCCTTGTGACTATGTTACCCCCTGGAAGAGAATTACCTACGTCGGTCTAGGATATCGTAAAGCCCACATATAACGGTAACCCCCTATATTCGTCATTTTGATGATTTTAGCCACATTTTTTAATGGAATGATCTGAAAATTCTCACAAGAAGTTATTTGTGAGAGAACTGTCTATATAGTTCCACGATATCATACAGACAAATTTTTTAATGGAGTTGTCTTAAAATCCATCTGAGTACTTTACCTCCTAGAAGAGAATTATCTAAATAGATCCACGTTTGAGTATAGCGCCCATATAACGGTACACCCGGTATTTATACCTTCAGCCATATGGCTACAGAGGGTATACATCATTTGATACGGTCAAAACGTGCCTAGTCGAAATAACGGTTTTAGACCCTAGGTCTCTTTGGACCAAATACGTCTCATGACATTTGGAGTCGATCTAGCGATGTCCGTCCGTCCGTCTGTCTGTCTGGCTTGTGCGCACGATAACTCTCGAAGGGAGTATCCGATTTGGCCCAAAGTTGGTACATCGTAATATTTTAGTCAAACTTAGACAGAGTTCGGAGGTGGGCAATATCGGTGCACTCTTTCTGGTACCTCCCCCACAAAATGTCGAAATTTTCAAAGAATATATTTTCTGCACAGATAAACAAACGATAATCCGATTTTGCTCCAACTTTGCAAATTCTAATATTTGCGTCAGTGCTAGGTCAGGTGCCAAAATGGACAATATCGATCCACTCCATCAAGTACCTCCTCCACAAATGGTCAACATTTTGAATAATTACAACTCTAATAAAATGTGATGTAAGTGTCCGATTGTCTTCAAAATTCTCACATCTCAATATTTTTATTAACCTAAGGGCGGGTGTTAGAATGAAATACATCGGTATACTCGTTCTGGTACCTCCCCCACAAAAGGTCGAAATTTTCAAAAAATATATTTTCTGCACAGAAAGAGAAACGATAATTCGATTTTGCTCAAACTTTGCAGATGCTTATATTTGAATCAGTTCTAGGTCAGGTGAGAAAATTGACAATATCGGTCCACTCCATCAAGTACCTCCCCAACAAAGAATCAAAATTTGGAATAATTAGAACTCTTATAAAATGTGATGTAAGAATCCGATTGACTTCAAATTTCACACATACCAAAATTTTTATCAATCCAAGGTCTGATTTGAAGATGAAATATATTAGTCCACTACTTCTGGTACCTCCCACACAAAAGGTCGAAATTTAAAAAAAAAAAAAAAATCTACACAGAAAGAAGAACAGTACTCCGATTTTGCTACATCTTTGCAAATGCTGTTATTTGCATCAGTTCTAGGTCAGGAGTGAAAGTGGATAATATCGGTCCACTCCATCAAATATCTCCCCCACAAAGGGTCAACATTTTGAATAAACACAACTCTTATAAAATGTGATTTAAGTGTCCGATTGTCTTTATGTTTGACACATCCAAATACTTTTATTAACCCAAGTTCTGGTGTTAATATGGAATACATAGGACGACATTTGGTACCTCCCCCACAAAAGGTCAGCATTTTAAATATCCATGAAGCACATAAAAGCGAAATTAACATCAGATTCCACTCAAGACTTTGTATCTATCAATATTTCTATCAACACAAGATCTGTTATAAAAATTCTCAAAGAAAGCGAAATAAGCATCCAAGCGAAATTTCTAACACAAGTTCTGTTATGAAGTTATATATATATATGCGAACCCCTTTCTGGTACCTAACCCACAAAGGTCACAATTTTCAATGCTTTTATCTGTCATAACTTGTGAAACAAGCTAGCGATTCTTTACAACTTGCTAGATCTATATACTAAATGTGGTATATCGCGCACACTTTTAACATTTTCAAAAAATTAGCACATATAAAGTGAAGGAAGTAACCAATGCAGTAAAAACTGGGGCGTCGCAATATTTATATCATATTTATTTAGATCCGATACAAAATGGACAATATTGGCCATTTCCTTCCAAACCTACTCCACACTCCAAAAATTTGAATATTCATAACGGAATCAAAATATATTTAAATAATCGAACATTGGCTGAGGGTAAACATCTGTCGGCAAAACTGACTGATTTTTTCTAACTTGTTTCATTATTTTTGAGGCATTATTCACCGGAGTTGTTTGAAATTTCGTATATGAAGTACGGAACACTTATTACAGCCTACGAGACAAATTACTTATGCAGGATCACATCTTCGTATGGCCCCCATATAACGGTTTTCATTTGAGCGGTATTTTTCGATGAAATTTTCTTGAAATCTTTTAAGTTTCTTCCAAAAAAGTTCGGCACGGCCGGAACATAGCTGCTTTTTTACTTGTTTGTACTAAATTCCGTAACACATTCCAAATTTCATTGAAATTGCGAATACATATCGTGTTTGGTCCATCAAATATTTGAAATCGGACGAATATGTGTATGGGAGCTTATTCCAAATCTGAACCGATTTCATAATAAATTAGCAAATTCATTTGTACATTCCAAATTGGAATGTACAATGGTCGCCTTTGGCACGAATTATGGCTTTTAAATGGCCTTCACTGTAATGAGCAGAATGTATTGGTTTCCTACATAGGAAAGTATATATGGATTTTCCTATCTCGCCGAGCTGAGTCGATCTATCTATGTATGTCCGTTCGTCCTTCTGTCCGTCTGTTCATGTTAATTTGTAATCATAATCACAATTATGACCCAATCCTCACGAAATTGAAAATGGAGTTGGGGTTAGGGCCCGAATAGAACCCATTTGTTTTTGGAGATGATCGCATAATATTTAGGGGTTGAAATGAACCAAAAACTGAAAAATTGCCTGATTTTGAAGTGGCTCTACAGGTCGCAATTATAGACCAACCGAAGAGGAAGTTAGCACGGCGCTAGGGCTTGGGGCAGGGCAGAAGCTTTAAAATTTTGATGGTCATCGGATAATATTTAGTGGGTGAAACGGACCATAAAATTTGTGTTAAATCAAAAGTAAAATTTTACATTAAACCGTGAGTATTTTTTATCCCGTCGAAATCACAAATAGACGAACAGGTCAATCCTGACCGTTACGTAGATGTCGGTAGTAAATATATCGGATATATATAGCGAAATATATACAATGTGTATATACAAAGGAAGGGGATGTTTGTTAGATTGCTTAAATCTCAAAAATGGCTGGACCAATTTTGACAAATTTTGTCAATTCAGAATGCCCTCTTGACATAAAAGTATAAAATCTAAAGAAAATCGCATAAAAATACGCCTATGAAGATGTTAATATTGATTTTGTAATATTTTATGACATATTTTTATTTTTTCATATTTTTTATCGCATGCGATTTTTTCAATTTGACTTATAATATTGAAGTGTATATTTTGGAATATTTTTTCACCTTAAAACACAGGTTGGGGATATTATATACAGGTTGCAATTATCGTCCGATCCTCACGAAAAGGGTAGGGTTAGGCTCAGAAGGGCTAGGCCTATTGTTTTCAAAGATGTCCGCTATATATTTAGGGGTTAAAATGGACCAACAACTAAAATGTTCCTGATTTTGCAGCCGTTATAAAGATCATAAATAGAATGGACCACTATATCTGTCTGAAAACACCAACATTACTTACAGGCGATATCCGAAATACACAAAAGGCGAACTTCTGGCTTTTTTATGCTGATTTCGTTGACGATTATAGACAAATATCATAAGAATATATATAGATGAGTCTAAATTTGGAGATACAGGGAGACTCTTGCTATTGGAGATAATCGCAAAATATTTAGGGGTTCAAATGAACCAAAAACAGAAAAAATTTCCTGATCACAAAATTAAAGCCATTCGACGCGCCTGAGAAGAGCGTTAAGGACAAGGAAGAATTCTAGCATTTTGGATGATCATTGGATTATATTTAGCTGTAAAATGGACCACAACAAATAACAGCAAGACGGTGTGCGTAATTTTCGTGCGCAAATTTCCCTGGGTAATATCTGGGCTGTGCACTGTGACATAATTTCAAAAGTGAAATCTTCCAAAGTGGATTTGGACATAAGAGGGCTTCTAACATGTTGTAGTGTTGTAGGGTATCACATGGTCGGCCGCGCACGACTATAGCCTTTGCTTACTTGTTTTTTTTTTACATAAAAGTTATGGTAAATATAAACAACAGGTTTCTATCCTGCCTCTAAACCCAATTCCATTCTAAATTTCGTTGGGATTGGGCCATAATTGCGACCTGTAGCTTAGCTCGGCGAGATGGGAAGACCCATATATACACATATTCCTATGTGCAGAACCAACATTTCGAGGTGTTACACAATTTTTGGCCCAATAAAACTTATAATACCCCCAACATATAGTGTTCTAGCGTATAAAGATTCGTAGAAAATGGTATTTGCTATCTCAAAAAACCCTTGTTTTAAGTTCTGTCACTCTTTGAGTAAATGAGTGATATGTATATAGCCGATGGTATACAGAGAGAAGTATTTCAGAACGATTTTATCTATATTTATTTTTTAGACATAACTTAAAAAATAACAATAACAAAGAAGTGACCAATTGCATAATTGGAAACTATTTCACACACAGGGGGCATTAATGATGGGCAACATAGGTAGCTGGGGCGGAGTAGGTGGTGTATGCTGGGGCAACGGTCTTAACAACAGCAGGAGCTGAGTAAGTGGTATAAGCTGGAGCTACAGTTTTAACAACAGCGGCGGGAGCAGCATAGTGGGCAACTGGAGCAACAGTCTTAACTACAGCGGCGGGGGCAGCATAGTGAGCAACTGGAGCAACGGTTTTAACAACGGCGGCCTTAGCAACCAAAGGTTCACGGTTAACTACGGCGTTGAATCCGTTGACGGGATCAGCGGTGTATTGGACAGTGCGTTTGAAACCATCAGCATCGATCAACGAGTATTCACCACGTACAACATCACCATCACGTTCTTCAACTTGGCTCTTGGAGTCACCGGAGACGGCATCTTGAACATCATAACCGTATTTGTACTGGGGATGAGGATCGTATTCGTCATCAGCCTTAGCCAAAATTGGCTGGGCATGTACATGGACAGCTGGAGCAACAGTTTTAACCACGGCAGCTGGTGCAGCATGGTAGACCTGAGCAGCGGGTACAATGCCAGCACTGGCCACAGCGAGCAAAGCGAACAAAGAAACGAACTGAAAGAAGACAATTTTATTGTAAGAAAATTATGTCGAATGTAGCATTTTTGTTTGTTGTCTTCGACTTACTTTGAATGCCATTTTGTGGTGTTGGGAGTTTTTGTTGACCGCTTAAGGTGCGTGCGTTTTTAGTTGGAGATAAAGTTGTCGACTGATGTTTTTGCCAAAAGTTCACTGGGCTTTTATGTGACACGCTTACAGCCACTGTTGCGGTTTTACAGCCAACATTGTTTGTGTACTGTTGGTCAAATCTCATTTCAAGCAAAATTGACATTGAGTTCAACGTAAGTTTCGGGTAATTAAGAGAATAATTCTCTTTAAGCGTTACCTATAAAATGGTAATGAGCAACAATATCAATTGTTGACATTTCCAGTTTATGTAGGCTTTTACTTGAAGTTGTTGGCAGTTAAATACTGCCTGGGGTGAATTTAAGGATTATTTAAAAACTAAGAAATACAAAATACCTATGTCGCCTGTCCAGTCCAAAATTACTTCAGTTGTCTATATAAAACAATTTTTTCAGTAATGCAAAAAAATTTTTATGATACCCCAGTAAAGTTTCTATTTATACCCTACAACACTATGTGTTGGGGTATTATAAGTTTGATTGAGCCAAAAATTATGTAACACCTCGAAATATTGGTTTCCCACATAGGAAAGTATATATGGATCTTCCTATCTCACCGAGCTGAGTCGATCTAGCTATGTATGTCCGTCCGTCCGTCTGTCTGTCCGTCTGTCCATGTTAATTTGTAATCACTCTACAGGTCGCAATTATGGCCCGATCTTCACGAAATTTAGAATGGAGATGGGGCTAGGGTCAGAATAGAACCCATAATATTTAGGGGTTGAAATGGAACAAAAACTGAAAAAATTCCTGATTTTGCAATTGCTCTACAGGTCGCAATTATAGACCAATCCAGTTAGCATGGGGCTAGAGCTTAGGGCTGGACAGAAGCCTTCCAATGTTGATGGTCATCGGGTAATATTTAGTGGGTGAAATAGGCCACAACATTTGTGTTAAATAAAAGTAAAATTTTCCATTAAACCGCGAATATTTTTAATCCCGGCGAAATCACAAATAGACGAACAGGTCAATTCCGACCATTACGTAGATGCCGAAAGTAAATATATCGGTTATATATAGCGAAATATATACAATGTGTATATACAAAGGAAGGGGGTGTTAGTTAGAATGCTTATATCTCCAGAATGGCTTGACCGATTTTGACAAATTTTGTCAATTCAGAATGCCCTCTTGGCATAAAAGTATAAAATCTAAAAAAATCACAGAAAAATATGCCAATAATTATGTTAATATAGATTTTGTAATATTTTGTGACATTTTTTTATTTTTTTATATTTTTTATCGCATTTTTTCAATTTGACTTTCAATGTTTTGTAATATTTTTTCACCTTACAACACAGGTTGGGGATATTATATAAATATTGCAAATATCGTCCGATCCTCATGAAAATTTTCACAAGGGTAGGGTTGAGCTCAGAAGGGCTAGACCTATTGTTTTCAAAGATGTCCGCAATATATTAGAGGGTTGAAATGGACCAACAACTAAATATTTTCCTGATTTTGCAGTCGTTATAAAGGTCACAAATAGAAACCAAAGGATAAGAAATCTCGCATAAAGTTAGAGTTTAGGACAGAGGGTACAATGGACCCCTTTGTGTGAAAAAATACCAGCGTTACTTACAGGCGATATTTGAAATACACAAAAGGCGAACTTCTTGCTTTTTTATGCTGATTTCGTTGACGGATATAGCCAAATATCGTAGACAAGCAAATCATATAGATGAGTCTACATTTGGAGATACAGAGGGGCTTCATGCTTTTGGAGATGATTGCAAAATTAACCAAAAAAAGAAATGTTTTGCCGATAACACAATTGAAGCCAATCGACACGCCTGTGAAGAGAGTTAAGGACAGGGAAGAATTCTAGCATTTTGGATGACCATTGGATTATATTTAGCTGTAAAATGGACTACAACAACTAACAGCCCGACGGAGTGCATAAATGTTAAGCAAATGTCCATAGTCAAAATCCTAATTTCAAAAGCGAAATCTTGCAAAATGGATTTGGACATAAGGGGGCTTCTAACATATTGTAGTGTTGTAGGGTATAACATAGTCGGCCCCGCACGAATATAGCCTTTGCTTACTTGTTTTATTTACAATTGGAAGAACATTTTCCGGATCAATTATTGTCCGTAATTCGAATGGCGAAACATTGGGTTACGTACATATGAAGACATGTGAAAGAGAACAATCGAACGCGTCTTTAAATTCGGCCAAGATGAAGATAAAGATGTCCACTTTAGGAAATCCTAAGTCATAGCTAATCCGTTCACAAAAAAAAATCTTTTAAAAGTGGGGGTACCTTTCAAAAAAATCAACACATTTAGTTAAAACATAAAAAATGGAGCCTAAATGAAAACATGCAGCGATATTGTTAGTTTCCATGGGGGAAATTTAAATTGTCAAATTGCGGACATTTCGTTAACAAACTTATTTCAAACCCCACAAAACCCCTCAGGTATTGCCGCTATATATCGGAAACTGGATTAGAAATTTTCTGATAATTTTTTATAAAACAAGTAAAAAAGCAGTAAGTTCGGCCGGGCCGAACTTTGAATACCCTCCACCATTTGGAACGAATTAGTAAATTTTCAAAAAAATAAAATCCAATAAAAATTCTTTTAAAATCTTTAAAATATCTAATATAGCAAGGTGCCGATATATGGGAGGGATATACGATATTGTGGACCTATAAATACAAATCTATGTCTGCGTGTAAAGTACTCACAAGGAACTCCGTGTGTGGATTTTCAGACAATACGATTGGAAAATGTGGCTAAAATCATCAAAATACCGAATATCGCGAGGTACCGTTATATGGGAGCTATACGTTATCGTTAACCTATATAGAGAATTCTCTGTCGGAGGGTTAAGTGCTCACAAAGAACCCCTTGTGACCATTCCGTTGAAAAATATGACTAAAAACATCAAAATACCGAATATCGGGGGTACCGTTATATGAGGGCTATACAATATCGTGGATCTATATAGATAATTCTCTGCCGAGGTATAAAATACCCACAAGGAACTCCTTGTATGGATTTTCAGACAATTCCGATGAAAAATGTGGGTCAAATCATAAAATACCGAATATCGGGAGGTACCGTTATATGGGGGATATACGATATCGTGGACCTGTATAGACAATTCTCTCTCAGGGGGTGAAGTACTCACAAGGAACTACTTGTGTTGATTTTAAGACAATTCCATTGAAAAGCGTGGCTAACATCATCAAAATACCGAATATCGGAGGTTACAGTTATATGGGGGATATACGATATCGTGGACCTATATAGACACTTCATTTTGAGGAGGTAAAATGCCCAAAAGGGACTCCTTTTGTGGAGTTTCAGACAATTCCGTTGAAAAATGTGGGTAAAATCATCAAAATACCAAATATCGGGGGTACCGTTTTATGGGGGCTATACGATATTGTGGACCTATATAGATAATTCTCTGCCGAGGTATAAAGCACCCACAAGGAACTCTTTGTGTGGATTTTCAGACAATTCCGTTGAAAAATGTGGGTAAAATCATCAAAATACCGAATATCGGGGGGTACCGTTATATGGGGGCTATACGATATTGTGGAATTATATAGATAACTATAGATAGAACTCTTTGTGTGGATTTTCAGACAATTCCGCTGAAAAATGTGCGTAAAATCATCAAAATACCGAATATCGGGGGGTACCGTTATATGGGGGCTATACGATATTGTGGACCTATATAGATAATTCTCTGCCGAGGTATAAAGTACCCACAAGGAACTCCTTGTGTGGATTTTCAGACAATTCCGTTGAAAAATGAGGGTAAAATCATCAAAATACCGAATATCGAGGGGGTACCGTTATATGGGGGCTATACGATATTGTGGACCTATATAAATAATTCTCTGTCGAGGTATAAAGTACCCACAAGGAACTCCTTGTGTGGATTTTCATACAATTCCGTTGAAAAATGTGGGTAAAATCATCAAAATACCGAATATCGGGGGGTACCGTTACATGGGGGATATACGATATCGTGGACCTATATGGACAATTCTCTGCCGAGGTATAAAGTACCCACAAGTAACTCCTTGTGTGGATTTTCAGACAATTCCGTTGAAAAATGTGGGTAAAATCATCAAAATACCGAATATCGGGGAGCACCGTTATATGGGGGCTATACGATATCGTGGACCGATATAGCCCATCTTCGAACTTGACCTGACTGCAGACAAAAGAGAGATCTGTGCAAAATTTTAGCTTCTTATCTTAATTCGTTTAGACTGTAGCGTGATTACAACAGACGGACAGACGGACGGACAGGGTTAAATCGTCATAGAATTTTACGCTGATCAAGAATATATATACTTTGTTGGATCTAAAATGATTATTTCGATGAGTTACAAACGGAATGACGAACTTAATATACCCTCCATACCTTTTTTGGTGGAGGGTACAAAAAAAAAAAAAAACGTTAAAAACTCTGTTAAATCTTAAAAATACAGAATATACGAAGACCTGCATAGACAATATTCTGTCACAAACTGTAGTTCCCATTACGAACTCTAAATAAGCAATTTGAAACTACTCCGGTGAATAATGACGCTTAAATAATCAAAATACCGAATATTGTGAGGTACTGTTATATGCGGGCTACACGAAGGCGTAGACCTGCACGAACAATTTTCTGTCATTTTTCTGTCATGCATTACAAACTTCAAATACCAAATTTGAAACAATTCCGGTAAATAATGTCGCTAAAATCAACAA